TTTCTAATTACACGTAACACAGTGACTTAAGAATTGTGCAAAAAGCAATTTTCTGGCCATTTATTTACAAAGTAAGTTGAATCAACCCTACTTCATAATGATCCGGCAAACAGTTCTGTGTGTAGATTGCTGTTAAAAAGAAAGGTTGTTGTGTAATTATTTTACTTTTACCGCATGTGTTACAGGAATATTGTGTACTGTATCAGTTTCAAATCAAATTGGATGCTGCGTTTGCCACTTTTTCTATCCTTGATTCTTTATATCTTTGACTCATGAAAAATTTCCTGGTGGTCTACAATGAGTAAATTCTTTAGGGGCTGATACAGTATTTTACTGAGGATGCAGCTACATGTAGGTAGTAGCATGTGTAAAATCCCTAATGTCTATTCATGCTGGTGTGCCAAGTCTCTTACCAATTACAGATGGCTTGGTAAGAAATTGGGCTTCAAATCTATATGGAAAAGCAAATATATTTGCCCCATTTTGAAGCGCAGTTATGTGTTGCATTTGTTAGAGTAGCAAATGGCCAATACCTCGACCTTATGACATGAAACTACCGCAAAATGCATTCCAAAAATAGAGCAATATATTTCCTATAATGGGATGTAGTACGGGGGTGAATCCGACGGCCAAATGGAATTGAGATCTGTAAAAAAATGGAAAATCTCCATATTTCAGACATTAGGCCGAAATCCGGGATCATGTCAGGTCATAAGAAGGAAATTATGTGTCCAGATATGGATGGAAACATGGGAATAAATCAAAGTAGCCATGAAAGTTGGGAGAGAACAATTTGTTCCAGTAAGTGGAATTGGAAGTGCCATAACTGGAGATATATGGCTGTTTGGGCTATGTGTCCTGCATCCTCTATTTGTTCTCAAGATGTGATATTGGATCGATTTATACAATTTCTCACAGAAACAGAGGATAAAGTCCTACATGTGTATATAGTGTATTTTCTAAAGCTATAGCCAGGTATGCAAAGTATGTAATTCAAACACATATAATTATATCTTACATTGCAAAAATGTATCTCTTCTTTGAATTCTGCCTTTTTGGATATTGTAGTGTTTTATTTGCAACTTGTTAGATCATATCATGTGCAAACTTTAGAAGATAGCAAGTAAGATCGCATTAAGGGAGAAAACGACTTCTTCAGAATGCAATCTTAAGCTGCTATGTTTGAAGTTGTATCTTCTCCAGTTGAAATCTGCAAAACGCAGGCTGTAAACATCTTACCAGTAGCACTCAGAAATCATCACCTTTCATATCCATGCCCTATCTAGGGGGTAATTGGGGTTGTAGCTTGTTTAAACATGGTCATGGTGTGATGCTACGGGGTCAACTCTAACAAATGTTGCTGTCACAAAGTTACGATGACCGACTGCTTGCAATTCATGGTCCATCAAAGTGGAGGTCATATTCAGCGAAGCCATTCTTTCTACGGCACAATTAAGTAGCTCTTACTTTTATATACCTCCGGGGGAGGACTTTTACGCTCTGCCATAATATCAGGAGGTCCATTTTGCAAACTTCTAACAAAAATATGTCAATGTACTAGATTTTTGTATGATTTAATAGTAGATATGAGTATTTACTAGAATCACTTGCAAGTGTCACTAAGTGACCACCTATGCATAAGCACCACCTGGCCATTGATGTACAGTACAAGTTGTATAGGTTTGACTGAATATCAGTACACATAGTCCTTATGTAGGGATGGTGACTAATACAGATTTATCTATAGGTCTATGGCCAGGTATCTTTTCTAATACATGTTTCATATAATTTTTTTGCCTCTTTTCACATTATGAGAGTTCTTACATCTAGCAACATATCCAAATCTGCTTCTGTTACATTCCAAAACATGTAGCATACATGTAGCTTAGTGGTACCATTTGTCGAGACGAATTGTTGTCATGCCCTAGCAGACAATAAGCTGTGGAGAAATGAATTCTGCAAATGTAGGACAGGGTTCAAATAAGGTTTACAGATGAAAATGAATTGTCATACATGTATAACTGTGTTATGGGCTGTTTTACAAGGACGAGCTTTGACTAAAAAGCAAAGATTTACAATCAATTTATCCAGTTAACAGCCAGATGAGATAAGAATGGGTTTATTTTTAGACTCCTGACATCGCCCATGTTGTCAAATAATGCAGTTCAAGTCGGGAGAGTTGGTATGATTAAAATTGATTCTGTCATCAGTGGACAGATATGCTGAAAGAGTTGACTGTCGTTAGACCTTCTGGGGCAATTGCAACTGGCTGGGATTATAACTGTTCCAAGGCCACCATTACTGGACCGAATTGGACTGGCAACATGGGGAAATGGTAACTTAATTTGGCGGGGACATGTAGCGCACATGGGAAACCTGTTGCCCAAATGAGCCACGTCGAAAATTGACCTATAAACTCACTGTCCACCATTATGCAGTAGTGCAATGGGACCGCCATCAATTTCCAACAAATTTCTCCCCTGCCTGATCACGAAAACGGGCAGGGACGCCGCAGGAATGAACCAATCAGCACACAGGATGGAGAAAGATTTAGAAAAGTCACATGTTGAAATGGATCGGTCCAAATTGATGGCCGGTTTCTGTACATTACTTGCAGATTTGCTGGATATTGCACTATATTGTTATGGGGTGGGAGGGTGATATATAGTCCTTGGTATGACCTCGCCCTTGCAACATGTAAGTGAATTACACTTACCTTTCCTTGTTGTAAGGTTTGCCCTTTTGCTGAGGACACCTTGATGTTTTTATTGGGTGTCAGCCAAAGCACTTGACTGCTGCGTACCACAAGAACAAACACGTAGGAAAAGTTAGAGAGAGGTACAATGTATTCATCTTTTTGGCAAATAATACTTCCCAAACAAAAGTGTCTGGTTATTATATTTTGCTTGATAGGGACACTACAACTTAAGATTGTATGAAAAAATACATTGTTTACAAAACATCCTATTTGAATCATACTGTAAGCTCTGTCCAATGAAACATGACTATTCTGGACTGCATACTATTAGATGATGTTGGTATTGTTACAGTTCCAAAATTTCCAGTCGAAATACAAGGTGATTTTTCAAATGTCAAGTTTTCTGACATTTTAGATTTCAATGTATGAATCATTTCAATATTACATTGATCATTTATCTGATTCAAGTCAAATTTTTCACCCCATTTGTGATAGTGTCTTATAAGTCTACGAACAGTACACTCAGGATTAGACTTCACGAATGTTAACTGCAGTAGTTGACTTGAAAACCTGGCCCGGTAGATCGAACTAAATTGCGTTGCCTGGTATTCTGTATTCCCACAGAGCAGGACCATTTCATTTCAGGTCCAATAATCAGTAATAATTGAAGTTTTTAAGTGTAGATTACATTATCCAGGAGCAGGTTTAGATGTAATTATGAAAAATCGGTGCAGTTATTGACCAAGGTGTTCACAGCGATAGACACAACGACTTGTCTGCCATTGTTTCTGTTATTCTCAATGGAGGGATGGACTCAAAATGCATGAAATGTTACCACCATGTATTCATCAAAGAGCACCTTTGGGGAGATCAAATCATATCATGTTCAATATTATATGGATTTGCCAAGAAGCTGGTTTGGTAGATAGGCATTAGAACTAGGCCAGAAGGGCCATGTAGAGTCTGACTATTGATGCAATTATTATATTTGATTTTCTTCCTCTTGAGTATATCCTGTGGGCATTAGACTTCAATAGCACTGTAGAACAGGAACTGTTACAACTGCCAAGGAGCAAATGTCTGTAAAAGGATTGTGTTTAGAAGCATTCTTGTACCTAAAAATATAGCAGTATACAATATAGTGGACATCCAAAAATAAAACTGACATTCTCTTTTACATGGCAAGGGTCTCCATGTTTTATGCAATACGTGTACTGTACATGTCAAAACTTTTTCTTAGATTCTGCAGTTGGCTCTTTCTTTTACACAATTTTGATCCATAAGCTGCATATTTCTCCTATTATTGACCTTATTGTAAGCATTAAGTCTGCATCTAGCTACAAAATGATGTGACCCTGTAAAAATTCATACAACTATAAAATTCCAAACTTTCATAACCAACAAAATGCAGTATTTATCTACTAGCAACTTTTTGATATCTAGGATTATTAGTTGCTTCTTGTAAAACGAGAACAAATCCTGTGCTACACGACTTGTGCTTTAAAGTTGCAGTAAAAAAAAGAAAACTTAGCTACAGTTTTGACCAACGTAATTTCATTGCTTCACCCCAATATCTACTAATCGTTTTCAATTTGCAATAAAGTGTACAAGAAAATAAAGTCTTGGTCTTGGGAATTAAGACTCCACAGGGCTACTAAAGTCATGGCTTATTTTTTAGCCACGTTCCCAGAAGAATCCTGGTTAACTTTGATATAAATGGCCTTGAATTTGGACTTCTTTTGACAAAGAAAGAAGTTTATAATCCATCCCATCACCAAAAGTGCCCGAGGGCTCTGCTACCTTTCAGGAGGAATTATCCTCTGATTCTGACATGCTTTGAAGTTTGCCGACCAGAGACCCACTGGTCACGTGACTTGAATACTGTAGGGTTAACCTGCTTTGGTCAGACAGAGTCTTATTGTTACTCTATACATGTACACTCAGGGTAACACTGAACATTCCAAACACTATGTCTTGTAGATGTAGATGTAGATTCTTTCAGGCCAGGTAGGAGTTCTCTCACTTGGTATATACTGCTGTTTGAATTCTCAACTGAGCACTTACCATAATATTATGATATTTATATGCAAATATAATGATATTCAATGAAATAAGACAAACAAATGGGGTATCCAATTGAACAGAAGTTGAAGAAAACATAAGATGTTAAAATAATTCAGTAAGTCAGACGCCTTCCCTTTGCCACAGTTACTTATTTTATGCATCGCCAACTTCCCACGGACAAAGATTACGGCTTTAATTCACAGAAAGTAATGAAGGTCATTTCTTGTGCCCTCTGCAGATGAACCGTCCAATCCAGGTTAAACCAGCCGACAGCGAGAGCCGGGGAGGTAAGACCAGTAAGTGTCGCTTCATGTGGTTTCTTCCTTAGTTTTTTACACAGCACAGTCCCGCCCTGCACCCCCATGCCTGGAAGTGGTACCTCCTGAATGTTACAGAGGAAGGGGATCATGGTGAGCTCGAGGTTATGGGGGTGTAGTGGTGACCAGTAGAGGATGTATTTCAATCTAGCCTGCATGAGTTCTCCATACTTATTGTGGTCTGTGAGGGGCTGTGCTTTTCCTTTACCATCGAGCATTGCGTGCAAGCCTTTCTAACCAGCATCATACAAAATTCACATTGTGAAAGCAAGGAGGTTCAAAAAGGAAGCTTATAGCTCCATGGTGAAAGGCTGCAAATACAAAATCATACTGGACAAGTTATACTACTGGAATGTAGAGGCATTGTTTATAGTTTGAACACTAGTGCACCTTTGCAATGCAGTAAATGCTCTATGGTGAAGGAAATAGAGTTAAGAATGATTTTTGAACATCATGTCCAAAAGTTCACATTGTCACTTTGTATAACATTATGTACAATGTAGAAATGCATGCAACTCTCCTGTAGTTGCTAGTTAACTATAATTAAGTAACTAACCGAACATTGAAGTCTATAGTCTTGACATGGTGAAGTGACACGTGTCGTGTGGTGGTGTGTCGTCATGACAACTACTACCCAGCATGCAATGTGTCGTGGTGCATGGTTGTGTGTGTTCCCACCATGAACAGGTAGGTGTAGTCAGGTAAGCTGTGTTTTTTTTTTAAATTTCAAAGATTGTTGTACACTGCACAAAATCAAAAATTGTATGAGCCAACACTTTTAATCTAGTCAGGATATAATTAAAATAAATATAAAAGTTAGGTCAAGTACAAGAAAGCCTTGCAATAACTTCAGACAAGAAGCCCTCAACAAGTGTTGAAGTTGTGAGGAGGTTCTCACTGACAGATACACGTGTACCCTTGAAAGATGACCTGATTAGCATTTTCATGTTACAAGACGGAAGCAGGTGGTATGTGTCTGTCATTGCAACTCAATCAAGGGCCATCAGATCTCCATCTACAGCTATTAGTGGCTGGAATCCTTGCTAAAAGCATTACTTCCCTCCCATTGCCTCTCCATTCAACACACAGAATGATATGAGGCATTCCCATTTAACAATTACTTTGCGCTCGGAGGAGCGAAGTGTTTTCATTAAAAGGCCGTGAAATCTACTTGAATAACCATATTATGTTCATTGATATGCTGCACACTTTGTTCAAGCCTATGTTGGTTTGGAAAAAAAGGGTGTTTTAAGGGCCTAATGCAATTAAATGCTTGGACAGTTGTGTAAGAAGTTTGCCAGGCTGAAAAAGATTTTAAGCTAAAAGTTATTTCCTTTACAGTAGCTGCATGTGAATTCTTCCTTGTTTTTGATAACAACGTGCAAAATTTGTCTACTTGTTTTAAAGGCCCATGAATTATTATTTTTTGTTACTAAAAGTACTGAAAAATATGACATTGTCTCATTGGTGAGAAGTCAAGTAGCATCATCTTTCTCTTTAGAATTAGAAGTTTTGAAAGTTTTTGGGAGGTAGCATGGCAGTGGCAACAGCCTTTTTCAAAATGCCCAATATGTGTTGGCTGTTCTTTTAAATCTCCTCCCTCCCCCAAAGAAAACTGTTCAGCCTCTAAAAAGTCTGGCGTACGTGCAAGTTTGCCCTTTTGTTTCATGTCGAGGACTCTGATCTTTCTCTGGATTAGTTTGAGCTATTTCAAGCTAAAAGTAAGCCTCCGGTTGTTTTTTTCTTGGTAATACTTTGCCGTGTTTGGACAGGCTTCTTAGGACGGTAAAAGCTTTCAGTTGATAGTGTCAGTATGCATCACATGCACCGGGTTGTTGAGAAGAGGGCTCTTCACTTGTACCGCAGCCGTTGAGTGTGAAGCTAAAATCAGATCCAATATGTAGGGATTAGGGAAGATAGTATTTTGAAGTGTGCTGCATCAGATAATTCAAAAAAGCACCTTTTAACTTGGTCATCTCATCATTGCTTTGAGCCGGCTTCAATTTGGCAGGCCTTAGGAGAAGCCTTTGAGGTGTGTTCAAAAGGCTCTCGGTTACGAGATCCAAATTACTAGCAATCTGTCCTGGCTTTGGTGGGAGGGCGGTTCTTATGTTGATGCCTTCCTGATAAGAGATAGCTTGTCCAGTGTTCACCCTTCTTGTCTGTTGTGAAAGGTATAAAATTGCTTCTTCCTGGAAAACTTTGTCCGGCCATTATGTAGTCTGAACTTTGCGGGACGTGTGTTTCGAGCTTCGTCCTTGCAGATTTTGGATAAGATGGCTCCTGGAATTGAGGTCAAAGCAGGGAGATGTGTAGGGTCCAGACCTGCTATTTGTTGGAAGGGCCGTCACAAAGGCCTTACAATCGATGCACTGCAGATATGACAAGCAATCTCCGATCGATCCCAGAAATCTCCGCTCCAAAACTCAACAGGTGACCCCCCAATTGCCAAGTCAAGCGAAGAGGTTGAAAACAATTTACCTTACTTTTGCAAAGTTGGATGACCTCTGCGATGGGGCAAAGGGAATTTCGTGACCGGAGTGGGAAAGGCCTGCTTAGCATTCTGGAAATGAGGTGTTTGGAGGTGGAGTGCCCCGGAAGTTGGCTTGGTCATGAACTGTAGGTTAGAGATAATCGCAAACTTTGATGGGGATGGGACGTGGCGTGACCAGAGTTCGCAATTCCTGCTTATGCAGCAGAGTTGGACAAAATTTGCCATCCAATCTGCATATATCGTCGTTCCAGTGCATATATTATAAACCATCACCTCCGTTTTGTGTCAGTCAAATGAATTATTGTCTTTGGGTCTAATACCACAATCAAAATTCTGGGACTTGCACATTAAGGATGGAATTGTCCAGGGACTTGAATGGTTTAGAATAAACCATCCGGCATAAACAGGTTGAGCGTCCTTTGCTTATTGCCTTGTATGGAATATGCAGTGCTGCAAAAAAAGGTTTACATGGCTTGACAGTGTATGTCTCTGTTTCAGCCAATGTTGAATTTAATTTCAAACATTAAGTTATTTGAAAAATTGTGCTGCAAGTGTTGATTTGTTAAAAAATTAACCAATAATCCATAACTTACTTACTATTATAGTATGTTCTTTCTTTCTTTCTCTCTTTCATTCTCTTTCTTTTTCTTTGTTCCTTCCTTCCCTCCTTCCTTGCTTCTTTCCTTGCTTCTTTCCTTCCTTCCTTCCTTC